CAGGGAGGGAAGAAAGACGATTCAGCGGCACAAGTGCGCAGCAACAGCCCTGGGCAAGGGCTCCATCTCTCTAGGGGTGGGGGTGACCTGGGGAGACCAGCCTCGGGCTAGGGGCATCACTGATGCGGCACTTCTTTTCCTTTCTGTGCTGTCTGGGGTTCTTGAATCAGGAGGAAGTTTAGGAGACACAGCGCCTGCGGGAGGGAGGGAGCCCAGGATGATCCAGACCTATCAGCCACCACCTCCAAGCCCTGGCCCTCTACGCCAGCTGTCTCAGCCCTGTCCGTCTTCCTTCTTAAACAGGTCTTCAATCTGCCTCTTTTTTCTATCCCTGGCCACTGGTTCAATCCAGTTCTTCACTGTCCATCCTGGTAAAACATGGTAACAGCCGGGAAAACATGATAACAGCTTTTTAACTAATCTCTCTACCTTCTATCAATCCAGCAGTCTCTAAACCCCAACTCTGATTATCTCACTCCCCTGCCTGAAATCCTTTCCTGCCCCCTCAGGAGCTGCCTTGCCTGACCCCCCCACCCCCGACTTCTCCCATGGCTTTAGCTACACTCACCAGGCCCTCCCAGGCCTCCCTGGGGTGGCAGGAGCAGCTCCCTGGGCCAAACTGCCCCCGACCTAACCCCCTCACCTGGCTAACTCCACCTCAGTCCCCAGCTGCACACTGGGATAGATCAGGAGCCGCCCCATTACCCGTCTACCCCACTCCCCTCATACCGCTTCCCACCAAGTCACCGCTCCCACCTGATATGAGCTCCTGGTGCCCAATGCCCACCTGCCCAGGGCCCGGCCCGAGGCAGGCACTGGGTGCCACAAGGTCAGCTGAGTGAGGGGCATGCAGCCCCAGAACCCTGCAGTCTCACACTTGGCACCTGGCTTCTGAAGGTCAGGGGCCTCACAGACAGCAGGACAGGATCACAAAAGTAACAAAATGACCCAGGACCCACCGCCAGGCCACAGCCAGCCTGTCTAGTGTCTACAAACCCTCGAATTTCAGAAGTAACGGCCCTGAGAGAGCCCAGCCTCCGCCACAGCCTGGTTCAAGACCTAGGAGTGCCAACTTCAACAGAAGCCTTGGACTCACCCAGAGGCCTGGTCTAGCTCTAGACTTTAAACTGGTCTCCTACCTCTGCACCAAGGCCTCCTTCCCAGGAAAAAGTCACCTTTCCCTCCGCTGTGGGAATCCTGTCAATTAGGAAACCTAAACACCCTCCCCCAACCTCACAACTTCTGTCCTGTCTTAGCTGAGACTCACTACAACATAAACATCATGCAAACAAGCTCATAAAAGGGAGAGTTACTTAGATATGCACTGGAGTCCCTGGGTAGTGCAAATGGTGAATGGGCTTGGCTGCTAACCAAAAGGTTGGAAGTTCAAGCTCACCTGGAGGCACCTCAGAAGGCCTAGAGATCTACTTCTGAAAAATCAGCCACTGAAAACCCTATGGTGTGGTGCATTTCTACTCTGACACAGGTGGGGTTGCTATGAGTTGGAGGCAACTCCAAGGCAACTGGTTTTGTTTTTTCAGCTGGAAGTTCCCAAAGCTTTTCCTTTATGTCCTTTCAGTCTCATTTTGGGTGGTGAGGTCGGGGACAGGTTACTATACAGTTCACAGGTGAGGTTAAGGTGACGCCCTGGGTCGCAGGGCTTGGACCACTTAAATACAGAACCCAGGTCTTCAGGCTCCAAACCCCGTTCTACTCCACAGACCCACAATGTCCCCAGCATGGACCGTGATCACGGGTAAGACTGCTCACTCGCAACCCACCCCATGTCTGGACACAGTCCCTATTCACTCCTTCATCTCCATACAGCACCCAGCCACTGTGAATCCGACAGAACACGTTAGAAAGGTGGGAGGCCACGCTAACCAGAC